TTTCTATTTTATAGATGACTATTAAGAACCTCATATCACTTTACTTTCATTAGATTCTAATAATGGTACCAATTTAAAAAAAAAGTAGATTTAATTTTCTATAAGCATAAACAAAATGCAAAATACAAATTTATGATTATTTTTATTTTAAACTATTTATCATAATTTTATTATGAATTACTTTTAGGATAAGGTTTTATTTTATATAAAACATGATTAATAACCTTATGAGTTTAAGTATAATTCACAGCATTATTTCCTTATTTCTTAGTTTAAGGTCTTTCTGTGGTTTTTTTATTCTTGAAATTTGAGCAAAATCAGATTAATTAAAATTTTATAGAATATTTAAAGAGGAACTCTCTCTGCTATCATCCATAAACTCACTTTTTGGTCGTTGTAAAAATAAAAAATAATGAACAGTAATTTTCTATCTCATCAATTCTTAAATTTATATCATCAATATCATTATCATTGATTTTCTGATATTGTTATAGATATTATAAGAAACTCTAAGGAATTTTAGAGTAATAGTATCATCCTTTAAATATTCATAATTTCAATTTATAAAAATAGATAAGTGCATCCATTATTTATAAATTTTAAATAATTATTGATAAAAGAAAAATCAAATAATGTTAATTTAGAAATAGCATTAGTATAATAACAAATTAAAAAAAAATTAGATTTGCTTTATATAGAATGAATTTCCAATTTAAAATCATTAACTATAATCCAATAGTATTAATTATAATATAAAAGGTATGAACCTTTTTGTTTCTTCCTAAATTATGACGATTTTTATTGTAAAATATTTTAGGTCTTTTTATTTATAGTGGAGAATATTTCAATTAATTGTTGTAAAAAGCTTAAGAGTAAGAGTTACCGAAAAAAGGAATTTTCAATATTAGTCTTGTTAATACAATAATAGTTTTCATTAAGTTTATCATAAATTTGTAAAGAGAGTTCAAAATATTCTTCTCTTACTCTTTGTATGAAAATAAAGTAATGATGAAAAAAATAAAAAAGACTTTAATAAGATATGAGCAGTAAAATTTTTTATTTCATTTTGAAATAAGAAGAAATATTTGAGGCTATGCGCGACTCTTGCCAGATTATTTGATTTCCATATATTTTTAATTTATTTGATATTTTTATTAATCAACATCAAAAATGGATAACTCAGTATTAAATAGAAAGGTTGAAAATTTTGATATAAATGAATAACCTAATATATTTGAATGTAATAATTATCATTCTTCTCTGCATTCTCTAATTTATATTTCTGTTGATATTGAATCCTATGTTATCAAATAGTCTCTGTCATCACTTAATGATCCAAATATTTATTTTGTGCTAAACTGTATTTTTTACTCAAGTTTAAATTCTTCATTTTCTATCAATCTAATAAAATTGATATATTTATCATGTTTATTCACTAATAATTATTTAGATTTAATATATTATTGTGGAAATAACATTTCACTATCATTACCTTGATTAATAATAATATCTTTAGTTTTACTAAATTATCTTCTTACACTATTCATCTCGTAGACATGCATCAAATTGCCTTCGATAGATTAAAATTTAAATAGATTATCATCGACAAAGCATAATCGAAATCCATAACAATCAACATTAGTTTTTTAAATTACAATCCAATTTTTATTTTATGCTGAATACTCAATTATCAATATTAGTTTATCCCATCAACAAGAAATAACATAATTTTATTAGTCATTCAAACTTAATGAGTAAATACTATTTTGATAATCTGTAATTGTTTATGAACAGATCCATTTATTTTTCTTAACACAAAACTTAATAGTCTTATCGGCTTTGCCTGATATAAATAGATCTTCATTATTATTGATAATTAAGCAATAAATGCTCGAATAATGTCCTTTAATTGTTTATGAACAAACCCATTAATTTTTGTTATTAATTGACCTAATTAAAATAGTACTATCGTATTCTCCTGATATCAACTAATTGGATTTTTTCAGGAAATTTAATGTAAACACGTCATTTTTATGTTGATATAATAATACTTGAATTTATTTTTAAATTCTTTATTTGAATTTGTATATAATTATTTAATTATCAAATCCAATTGAAAAAATTTAGGAATCTTTATTAAAAGCAAAAGCAAGACAATTTATTTTATTGTTTAATTGAATTACCATAAATTATTAAAAAAATAATTTGTTTTAAATTGCTTTAAGATTGAGATTTAATATTTTTGTGTTTTGTTTATTAAAGTTATGATTATGAGTTTATTAATGCTTGTTAATATTCATAATGAGATTACTATTTAATTTGTAATTAATCTTTCATTTTGGAATTGATTGATGGAGTCAATTCTTCAATTATGTTTGATTAAAAGTCAGATTAACCAATCTAAGGAGATGCTTTTATTTTTTATAATGATAAATCTGATTTAACATGGATGGCTTTTTAAATTGGATTATCTAAAATTGAAACTTAATCAATGAAATTATTGGACTTATCAAGCGAACACTACTCAATTTCTTTCATTTGGCATTCTAATTTTCTTTATGCTACTTATTCAATTGTCATTTTCTAATTAAATTAATATCATTAAAAAAAAATATCACTTTGTGAGAGTATTTGCTACAAAAATAAAAAAAATATAACTTGAATTTTAAATATTAGTATTGAAGTTTTAAAAAATATTAAATTACTAATAGTAAGGAAATAGTCAAGTTGTAAATTGAGGATTGTTGAGAAACAATTTTCATTATATTTTTTTTTCAGAAGAATAAGTAAATGGATGGAAATGTGATTTACTTAAAAATACTTGCATTTTAATCATTTAAATCATGAGCACGTAAAATTCAAGATGGATATATTTATATTTTACATATCATTTATCAACATATTTTGGAATAATAATGAAGATTTTACTCAGTAGTGAAAATGAGCCATATTTAGCTTTAATGAGAATGAGAAGATTATTTTATTTAATTTTAGTAGATATAATACTGATTTTTATAGACGTCAAGTATTAAAAAAGAGGCAAGGAAAAAGATTTAATCAGTCT